AAACACTGGACACGATGTTAAGCCTTGTTCTCTTATGCCTGATGTTAATTCAACAAGACAAGCAACGCGTTGGAGAAAAATTCTATACGTATTTTTTTCAAATACCAGGTTGGAAGTTTATCGTAAAATAAAAATGTTTTTAGTAACAATATTTAATGAACAATATTTAATAATATTTACTTTTAGTCACTCAAAGTTTCAAGGTGCGTTTTAATTATTGGGGCGGAGGTTTATCAGGACAATTTGGGATATAAAAGCAAATTTAAATGTGCAAATGAAAACTCGCTATTTGCGTCAGTTATCGTCCAAGATTAAACATTTTTCACGCGAATTTCATCCCGCAACAAATTTGAAGGTCTTCAAATACCCTCTCTCTCCTTTACTCCCCCTTTTCTCTCTCCCTTCGTATAAAAGATAAATTTGTAGAAAAGCAAGATTTTTAGAGATCTAGAGTGGCAAAATGTTTTTAAATGATATAATAGTAGTTTATGCCATTAGTTTGTAATGTTAAGCTTTATTGCATGAGTAGATATTTTGACAACGAGCGATGTTAAGAGCGAATTTTCAAACATTTATGAATGCAATAAAGCAACATAATAAACGAGTTACATACGCTATTTTTTTGTATAACAGCCTTATTAATTTTTGAGGAAATCAATCTTAATTTTGCGAAACAACTTTCTTGTGACATTTCGGATATTTGACATCTGTGCGAGAGAACGGCGGTCGGCTGTTCCGTTTACCTTTACCTCCCCACAATTCTCCCATTGCGATTAGCTGAATGTGTGATGACGCAAATATTCGTGCCGTAAAATCTAATAAGTCATTATTTGTGCCGTTAAAGACCTTTTTATGAACGACTCCTTGCAACAGAAAAGGTAGTTTGTAATGCTGGTAAAAAAAATGTTTTGGAGAGTTCGAATTGTTCACAGACGAATTTAAAGATAGTTTAGGTGATCGGGAGGGCGTTTTTTTTTTTAAACAAAAACAGACTTATTTTCGAAATACTACAATGTGGTATCTATACTTTTCATGATATAGACAAGTTTTAAATAAATGTTAAGAAATGAAAACTACCTTTACGAGTAAATTTTGTTATTCACTTGCTTACAGCTTTACAATACTGATACGTGTTTCTCTTTCTCCTTTCAACATTGTAAGGAAGCGAATCGACATTTCATCTATGGTGAATCGCTTTATTAAACGAGGATGTTTGCGTCGTCGCGTCCGACATGCAATGTGAGAAGGCAATTGAAAAGTTTGGCATAGCGTACACCCGGAAAAAGGTTGTACTGCAGGAAAAGTAAAAAAAATATATTCACAGTCATACTTAGTTCAATGATGATAACTCATCTAGAAGCACAGGCAAGAAATGATTTGTTGAAATAGAAAATTCCACACCTACTCCTAATTACGGTAGTGTGCAAATTAATGTGAACACGTCTTGACTTCAACTTATTTTAATAATCCGTACAGTTTTTACAGAATATTATACAACTAGTACGAAATATGTCCACCCCTTGCTTCAATAACTAATTTTACACGTTAATTGTTCACAATAATTTGCACAGTACTGTAATTGTAAAAATGCAGCAAGGTATATGAATGTCGCAACTTTACTTAACACGAGTCCAGCTGCCTGAGGAAAGTAAAGATGTGGACTATTGAAAGCTTGAGCTTGTCTTTATACTCCATCACCAAGTTTTTGCTGAACTTCAGTCTGTGGTATCGGAATTTTTATTGATGTTTAAGAAACTAAATTAGTTTTCGAATGCAAAATAAGTCGTTCATAATCAAGAATTATATGAGCGTTCGTCCTTTACTAAGTAAGATATATGATTGCGTTAGCTGGTACATCCGCCCTCTGCTCTGCAGATAACATCTTTCAAAGTCGGTCGGTCATTCACATCGCAAATCTGAGCCTGTCGGCCGTATTATTACGTCACGGCTTGAAAGCGTTTTTTATTCTTCTTCAGAGGGAAGGATCTCAGGAAATCAGACGAACAAAGAATATTTTTAGAATTCAGGCGAATCGGTTGATAACTTCTTGGCTGTCCGGGTGACGCCGCGTCGTTAGCTGAGAGACCGACGTGTCGCCTGTCTTCGTATTGCAGGCTTCTTCAGGGTAGGCGAAACGTCGTCCTCTCATCCAAGGACGCGGCGTCACCCGGACAGCCAAAAAGTCATCGAGCCGTGGAAGCCTACGTGTACGAATCGGTCGATAGTTTCTGAAGGATCTCTTAATGGTCAACGTGCGCTCCTTCTCTCGTTCAAAATTAATGTGGATGTTTCAATGATCACTTTCTTCTTGCGATCATCTTCAAACATTTCGTGAGTGCGTCAGGGAGATATCTTGATTTTTGAGTCACGCAGATAAGATGATTCAATATTTTGTTCTAATAAAACTGCGTATCAACATTCGTTCTGGAAATCAAATTCCCCACGCTCTTGTGAAATCATTCAAGTTGTTGAGTGGGAATCACACGTTTTCATTGTATAAATGATAATACTAAACCTTTTTAATATTATTTTACATTGATTTGTAAGTAACAACTTCTTGACTAGAATAAAAATCAATCCCAGTTGGAGAAAACTATTTTTAAATTCTGGATTAGCTTGAGTTGTTACTCTGATACCGCGGGTTCAAACCTGATGGAAACCGTGGATTTTTAAGGTTGAAATAATCCTTCGTACGCCTACCTTCGGAGTGGATGTAAAGCCGGAAGTTCCATGTTGGAGAATGAATGCGTGTAAAAAAAATGCCCAACCTTAAAAGAAGCCTCTGAGCTAAATTAAAATCGCATGTTTCATCGCCCTAGTGATACATTCTTTTTCCGCTAGATAGTGAAGGGAGCGGGGCGAAATATCGTGGTCAGACTCAGATCAGGCCTGAGGGCATGAGTCTCGCCGCGTAAAATAAGGCAATCATTCAATTGCATAATGCACCTGCCGAACAACAAAGTTTCTACCGACTTTATCGGAATTCGATGGTGAGGTGGTGAAGGGGAGTTATTAATCTGTCGTTGTGTCAACAATACAAATGCCCGTCAATGGAAGACTATGCAAAAGACTTCCTAGCGCATTTCTTACCAATGCGCTCGAGAAACACTGGGTCAGATGCCGCGTCGTAGTCTCTGAGCATTTAAATGCGGACAGGGATCGTTTTTGAATATTTTCTCTATTTTTAACATTAAAATAAAACTATTGGAGTTACTGACTACGCAAATGCCCGTCCATCGTATTAAAAGAATACCCTCAAGTCTTTAGATGATGTCAGAAATTTTCCAAAACAGTTTTGCGATGAATAATGATAACACTGATATTTAGTTTACGGTGATTGTTTCGGAAATATTATTAGTGTTCGTAATCTAAATACGAAAGTAATAATTAAATACGAGAATTATTATTAGCCTGATAAACATAGAAATTATTTTGGTCAATAAATATACAATAATGCCCATTGTATGACAAATTTAAGTACCACCTGACCTAATCATTGACCTTGAATTTTCCGTAAAAGCTAAAATTAAATGCGGTGATTGTGTATGACATATCGCAGGGTGGGAATGTCCGGGCTGGCTCATGACCTGCCAAGATATTACTGCTTGTAGTACAATGCCATGGGAATTCCCACTGCTGCATTGCACAAGAAAATTGGGGACTCTGAAAAAAGACGCCGCCGGCATTACGACGCTGTCAAGCCGAAACAGATGTTTTGTGCAGCCCTTCAAAATGTGTTTCAGAACTTGCGATGTCGAACTTGCTACATAGCCTGGCAGAAGTCTTCAGTTTGGAAACCGATATGATTTGGAAAGCGTTTCTCTAAAAGAAAATGATTGAACGATCTTAACTTAATTTCAGTGGATGTCCTGGCCCCGCTGTTCTGGGGCTTCATTAGCAAGAAATAAGAATTTGCGAAGTACACGATTTGTTATGGTAATATAGAACAGACAGTAATGGGTTAATTCACAAGACCTATTTATTTTCTCCTCTCTAGACCCCTCCTGCTACTCCCCTTTCTTCTTCTCCTTCATCGTCCTCTTCTCTGCCTTCTCCGATTTTTCTTCCTCTCGCTCTTATTCTTATTCTTGGTCTCTTTACCTAATACTTCACATCGTTGTCCCATCTAATGCCGCTTGACTGTAGGGGGCGCTGCAACGCCAAATTGTGAAACGCACACTCGTCCAGCGGGTTGCCTTATGCAAGTTAATGACAATATTTTAATATCTTTATAACATAAAATGAACTAATGTAAGTTATGTACTACTCCAATACTGTTATTTGAAGCCATATGCTTTTTTTATGTAAATGTATTTACTTAGTAGTGGGGCTACTGTTGGTTAGTTGGTACGTTGCCAGAATGGAGAGTCAGACTGATAGCGCAAGCCTCCCACATAAATAAAGTTGTTGTTGTTGTTGTTATTATTATTATTATTATTATTATTATTATTATTATTTTATTATCACCATTACTCGCGTATGATTATTATTAGGATCAGCTTTTCAGCTATATCCCTCGGTAAGGCAATGTTGTTACCCCTTGAATTGTGAATTATGAAATGATAGAATAATGATGACAGGTGAAGGGATAATCACATATACGACCATGCCTACGCAGGACTCGAACCTGCAGCCTTCTCGTCGCAGACGACGGTTGCCTGCGACACTAGTTATTATTGTTATTATTATTATTATTATTATTATTATTATTATTATTATTATTATTATTAAAAGAGCTTCCTAACAGTTTCTAGCGGAGGATGTCTCTGTTGCAACTCTGCTCTTCTCTCTTTCTCACCCCCTCATATATAACAACAATTTGTTCAACGCGGAATCTCAAGAAATCAGTATTTTTTATTTTTCATATTATACAAGATTCCGCATTTTGCAATGGAATATTGTAGAATTTATGTTTTTCAGGACCGATGTTTATGTTCGCATTAGACGGATTTCCACCGTATTGAGCAAGTTCTACTGCACATTCCGATGTCGCTCGACTCTTAGCGGATGGGGGCCCGCTGTCTTCGCGTGCCAACCCCTTGCAACGCTTGCAACCCGTCCTCCCCTAGGCGTGCGTCCGTGAGCCGCGTCGGCAGGCGCGGGCCTTGGGGCGCGGCGTCGGCGTCGCGGCGTCGCGGGGAAGGCGTGCGCGCCGCGTGGGAACCCGAGCCGCCGTCACGCGGCGCCGCGCTGTCACGCGCCGACAGGCGCCTTATCTCGCGCGCCGCGCCGCGGGGCAGGCGGCGGCGCCCTCGCCAGGTGCGGGTGAAACGCTCTTCGACTCCTCTAGGGCCCGTGGCGGATCAAGCTGGCGTACGAGGGAGTGGGTACTTTCTTTTTGCCATTCAGCGAACCCAAGGACGTTTGCATGAAGACAATTTAGGCGTGTTGCTGGAATTCAAGATAAGCGCACTTGAAAAACTTCTATACAATGAATTTTTTCTTTACATAAGTATCTCCGATTAAAAGTTGTATTGCCAATTTAATTGAAAGTATTATAAAAGCAGCGCGAGCTCTTAGTATTCAGTGATTTCGTTTACGTTGGATGTGCCTGGCTTCACTTCTTATTTCTCTGTGACATAGTTCATTTGAATATTGTCACATGCTTTCCGACATGATTTGTTTCAATCCAATCAATATTCTTTTTAGTGAAGATATCGGAAAAAATACAGAAAATAAATGGTTAAAAATACCCGTAGTGTCCAACAGCACTTACTGATCTAACGCTTTCAGCTGGCGCTTAGCACATCTGGGTGGCGGAAGAATATATTTTGGTGGTGATCAAGTGTTTTGGACCTTTCAAAACAGTCCGTTGATCGGAGCCAAGAATTTAGCGCAAGTTTGAGATGTTGAGAATAACGTACTTCAGACGAGAAAAAAATCTTAATAAACGGGTACTAAACGTCATTGAGTCCACTCGTAAAGCAGGTTCAATTCCTAAATGCGTTCTCCCATTGTGGTCTATCTCCGCAACTGCGTTTCGCACCCCGGATGGCAAGCTATTTAGGCCCTTAGTTCCTTACCAGGAGGTATTTTACTCGCCCAAAGCGCGCCCATGCCGACGAGGACAACTCTCTCCTCCGGCACTGACGAACGTCCAGCTGGGAGACCTCGTACATCGGAGCGCAAAGCTCCACCTTGACGTCTACCCATTTGAAAATGAGCGGGGCCGCCCCGTCTGCTTAGAGCTGCCAAATCTCCTGGTTATTACTGGAATCCAAACAAATACTACTCGCAACACGCCAGCACGAATCCATATTCAGTAACCCCCGAGTGTCGATTCTGCCTCGACCGAGCCAGGAGCCGAACTGAGAGCCACCGAGAAATTGGGAAGGAAACATGGGAACTTCCAATTCATCTCCTTACAGCCCTCGCCACAGCACAAATGACGTACGAATCGACGGAAATGTGGACGGGAGATTTCAATGTCCCCTCAATACGTGAGCGCACGACACACAGCCCCAATCCCACCCATTGGGAGGTTCCTCCGGTGGCGAATTTTGGACCCTAAGTGGAGCAGATGTCGGGTGCATATCAGAGAGGCCAGCTGCTGTGATCGGATGATCCACGGTTTCCTCCTACTAATTCCTGGCGGAAGCTAGAGCCGAGTTGCGATGAAGACCACCGCGGGAATTCCCTGTCTCCACCAATTCAATCCTTAAGTCTGGTCGACCGAACTGATTCCACATCCCCAGTCATTTCGAAAATATTCAGCGAACGTTTTGAGAGTGAATGTACGCTGTAGCCCTGTAGAGCTGTACGTGCGGAGCCATCAGTAAACTGCAGATTCAAATAAGCAAAACCATAAAGAAGTAACTATTATCTATCCTCTCTTTTCCTGAGGTGGTTTCGTTTCGAACATACGCATGTGTTACTAACTGATTGGTGCTGTCTGTAATATGTTCTTAATCCATAATTATTTATAACTTTATATAGTTTACAATATGCTATGTAAGTAAATTTCATTGGTGCCTATACAAACAAAAGTTTTCGAAATGCATCCTAGTGGGGTTACGGTGAGAAGTGTAGACTGCGATGTAATATGCATATACAATATCCACAATAGTTTATAAAATAACTATTCAGTTATTACTTTGTGAAAAATCGAAACTTATATCAATGACAATAGATTTGTGTTTATAGAATTGTATACATGGTAGATCACTGTGTACATACAATTGTATTTACTTGCATACATTTTACCATTGCCATCCGCAAAACGGTATATCTTGCGGGCCCCAGACCGCAGTCGCGAGTTCCTGCGGTGTCGAATACTGTCAGTGGCTGTTGCCCACCCCTGAGCTGCAGCCGCGCTAAGAGACCACGGGCCACGCAGCGTGCTCTTACCTACGATTTGGGTCACTCACAGGCTACTTGCCGCACACCGCTGCTCCACGGGCTCGTGCAAATTCGGCGCTAAATGTGACCCACCCGTGTAGGTGACAACAATGGTTCGGAATTTTGACACTCATTTGGGTCGTTTTGCCATTGTTACATTTGTCGAGGTCGAGTCGAAAAAATCATTCTATTTGTGTTGTTAACTTTGTTACAATTATAGCATCCAAACAATTGTGTATTTCTACTGAACTAAAGAATATTTACAGTTTTGAAATTTCCGACTTGGTTCCGGGAAATGCCAGAGGCATTTCATATATATGTTACGTTTCTTTCGCAGCCCTGAGTAGGTCTCTTCGCCACGGAAACTGTAAAAAAAGTGACATTGCGGGGCACTCTCCAAAGATTAAAAAATAAACATTCTGTGAAATATAAACATTATTATCCTTTTACTCGTTATACTGTAATTTTTTTAAAAAATCTGTACTCTTCAGCTATTCTTTGCTTCATATTTTCAATTTTTCGATCATATAAGCTTCATGAAACGTTCAGAGAACATAAGTTAGGAAGATCGGAAAGGAACGAAAATGTTAGCGGTATTGAATTGAACTCTGTCTTGTACTTTGCGAATAACTAGAATTTGCTTCACACCACAAAATTCTTATCAATATTCCCTGTCGTAATTATTTGGCGTTTCGATTATCAATGTATGTTGAGAATGATTTGTCAGCAAAACCAATAGTCAGAGGGATCGCGAAGGCACAAGCTAGAAGATTAGCTAGAATTATGCCTGTAGATTCCGTATATCACTTCAGGTTTTGATACTCTCATTAATATAAAATGTATTCAACATATAAGCAGGTTACTCAGGAAAGTTCGTTGCTGACACGCGTGTTGCCAACCAATGTGAGTTTGTTGTCATGATCAAAATTTCATTACAAACTGAAGGCTAAGTGTAAGTCTAAAATGTCTTTTGATTTTTAAATAGCTTTGAGGTGGTCACCATGAGTAAGAGGAAGACCTCGTGAATATAAACGCGATACAACCGATTCACTGAAACAAATGTGTCATCACATTTGTAGAGGAATTTGTAACTGTTTTGATGGTTATATAATGCTAATTGTTCTGGTGAGCAGATTCAACCACATGGTCTCTTCAACATTATTACATGTTTCCTTTCATTCGACGAGTATTGGGTTTCAGGAAGTAACTAAGTTTATTCGGTCGAATAAACAAATTGTATCCCTATCAATGAATTGTACTACCGTGAACAACTTCGTGCGGGCATTTCAGAGTTACTGTTTATTCTGTCCTGAAAATGACATTATTGCTGGAGAGATTGGACAATCTTCCGACTACCTCCAAGGATTCCCCTCACAATCCTTTAGGCGCTATTGCAGACGCTTTTTAATACCTTTCCTCTATCTCACAGGAGAAGGTCGAACATTTCTTCCTTGTGCTCATTACGTCATTTCTCGCAAATATCCTCGTGAGTTACATTACTCAATGTTTCTAAAACCTACGTATTTTACTTTTCCAGTTTAATTCAGTTTGAATAAATGTAATAGTTAAAATGTAATTAAATCATCAAAATCTGGTCAATATCTTGGTCAAAATCTGTTTTAGATAAAAAGTAAAACACACAACTCCTCGTTAATTATGAAGGAAAAAGTATTTGATTGACGTGTAAAATCCATCCCAGTTTGGCACTTCAGGTACCGAATCGTTATTTAATTCTTGACTTTGAATCAATGGCATTTTTTCTCGTGAGGGGGGGGGGGGGCAAAACAGATCACGAAATACCTGTTCTTGGAATAGCGGAACTCACACACAAACTTAAGAAACAACTATAGACATGGGCTTGACCAAGAAAGGAGCAACCACTTTTTCTGGGCTCCAACCTTTTGTACTTACTGTACTTGTAAATGAAAATCGCTAAATAAGAATAAAACTACTGGCAATACTGTGACATACCAGAATGTCTCACGAGTGTAATACAACGTAACGGATGCATCTAGAATACAAGTTACACGCGAAGCATAGCAACGAATTATAAACATTTAAACGACATGCTGGATGCTAGACGAGAATTGTATTGTCGAGATATGGCACAGCCTGGTATCATTAACATGCAATTTATTAGGGGAGGGCGTTGAACATTTACCTTTTGTATTAAGAAACGAATTCTCAGTATCACAGAAGAATTCAAGCAGTTCACATGTTATGAACATTATGAAATTGTCATTTTGCGATAGTAGATTTATGTTGTTGGTAAATGTTTGTTTGGTTAATCCATAATAGTGTAGGCTAAGCAGTAATGTTTATATGAGTGTTAAGTGGGTAAATGTTTGCATTGTTTTAATAGTAGATACATTTGTTGTGTATGAATTTTGCAATTAAAAATTTTTAGACTTCGTGTTCGTGGGTTTATACGAGGTTAGTTCGCTAGTGAGAATTATAAATTATTAATTTTAAAGAAATAGTAGTCGCGAGAGGGGTTTCACCCGAAACCTAGTGAGGGAAAGTTGCGACGCGATATTAAAGCAGACGTAGGGATTTTCCGAATAGCTGACTGTTTAATTAGCAACAGCCGGTTGACATTCAAAGTTTACACGGTCATTAGGCTTTTAAATTATACCACAGGAGGACCCAGGACCCCTTTTGGAGAAGATCATATCACCCGAGAAAACATTCCGTAAGCATACGAACTTTATCAAAGCTTTATAAATGTTATTTGTTGTTTGAAAAGAAAACAATGATATTTCATTGAATTGGAATCAATTCAAAAAGTAGTAAAATTCCACAGAATTTCCAAGAATAGTGTTTTCTGAACAGTCACACGTCCACGAGCAACCGGTAAGGTGATGTACGTTGTTCGTCGAGTTCAAGCATCTTAATCAAAAAACAGAGCAATCCAAATTATGAATTATTAGAGAAAATTAAATTAAAAAAATAATAAAACGTTACAAATGGTTGTCCAGCTAGGGAAATGATAAAATTAGTTGATAAATTAGAAAGGTTTAATTACGTTCAAATTGGCATGCACAACGTGGGGCAGGTTCATTATTGGTTGCAGTAATTAAACATATGTCTCCCCCCTCCCGCCAGTTTGCCTGTTGTGGACGTTATGAATTTCGCATGTGGACAGGCCAAGGCACACACTGGCAGAATTCAGGCTATCCCTGTGAGAGAGCCTCACTCAGAGGTTACGTGACGGAGGTGGCGCATGACGTCACTCGCCACATCAGTCGGACACAAAACACGGTCGGGAGCTTTGAGCTTGTTCTGGCTGCGACCGTGCCCCGCTGGGCGACGTACGTGGAATGCGAAATCCAACAAGCTGACGTGTAGGTCGTCCCCTGATCTCGCCATCCAGTAGGGAGGACTTTTCGGGATAAAATGTGCACTATATTTACGTTCACAGTTCATGCGCCCAGAGTCAATAAATTCTCATTGACTTCCTTATCAATTCGCTCCACCCAGAGAGATGAGATTCCTGGTGTTGCCCTGTGTTGCACAACCTTTATCGTCTGGTTCAAACGTTGCATTTTCTCTTGCGGCAAAGCAAAAAGTTTTAAAAAAAAGTTTGTACCTCATCCCAGAAGCTTTATCATCTTCCAGAGAATGTTAGGGAAATGCATCAACCAATATTGTTTGCTACAAGCATAACGGCAGAGCCGGTCTATCAGAGCGAATGCATGTGGGTTGAGATAATTTGTTCTTACGATTCGCGGATAGATTAAAGCAACTATAGCGCTGTCAGCACCTTTAGTGGAGTGTGTGTTCAGCTATGTCATCGAGGATCTGTGT